GGGGGGGGGGGGGGGGGGGGGGGGGGGGGGGGGGGGGTATTCCAACGGGGTCATGGCGTCATCATAATGATTATGTGTACGTTGGTCGGGCTGTTCGTTTCATGACGTTATGTGTACAGCCCCGCGGCTGCGCATTCCTGCAGAGTATAATCAGCGGAACAAGGGGCGTTGCAAGCCGGCCTTGTACAAAAAACGCGCGTTTGGTTACCTCAACGAGCTTGTGCACTGTAGCCCGATGTCGCTCGTCGATGGCACAAAATGACCCAAAATCGGCCGGTAGCACGAGGGTGCACAGGTTGGAAAACGAACCTACTGCCTGTTATCAAGAACTTGGCCTCGCACAAGAAATAATCGTTTCCGATGTAGGGGCTACTGTTGCCTGGTACCCATGATACTGTAGAGCAGGTCGAACACTCGCTGAATTAGATACTACATGTACTGCTGTCGTGGTGCCGTGGGTCGTTGTACCCAGGGGCAGAACATCATTTTTCCATCTAGTTAGAGCAGGCGAACTTAAAACTTCAGCATGCAAAACTTCCCCGGACCAACAACTAGGACCAAGATGTTATCTCCCGCCTGGTGATAGAATGAAACAGATATTGCTCCCCTTCCCGCAGTATAAAACCCCAACCCGCATTCAACGAAGCTAAATCCACGCGGGGGGTGCGGAGCGTACCATACGGTGGTTGTGGTCTTACAGTGTATCAAAGGGCAGTCGCGGCAAACGGCAACAGCGACTTGAGTGCATAGCTCCAATTTATTGTGCCAGATTCTCCTTTCATACGATCGGTGGTAGCATAGCTACAACCCCAAAGTATCTTGTATGTCTTTGTCGTTGGTGCAGTACCACCCGGCGAGTATCTGCACGACCGCAGACGCTCGATCTACGATAGCTGCTGCTGTGTCGTTGTCCGTGCACACCTCAGGGATACAAGCTGCTGGATTGCCAAAGGATAAGCTTGTTAAGACTCACCACCGGAGTATCCAGACAGCTGGAGGAGGTAACAGGCACACCTCCCAGCGCTCTCCCAGGCTTCGGTACCTGTCGACGTCCCCCCCCCCTTCTCTCTCCCCTGCTGTTGCACGTTGCACACGGCCGGCAACCCGACAAGAGAGCGTGGTGGGGGTGACGCAGGATGAAACGCAACAGCGAACGCATATGTAGCAGGCTGGTCTCAGGGGCTCCGGAAATCGGGGTGCGAACTGGAGACCAAGCGGACGACGCACGGCAGGCTGGTAGGTACTGCTGCACACCGCCGACAGAGAAGGAGACTGGCATCATTGGGTGCGTGTGTCGAGGAAGGCACGCAATTCCGTGGCACTTGGCCTCTGTGCCCTGTAGAGTTTACATCTAATCGAGGTCCTCTCTGGCCCGGAAGCTGCTGTGGGTACACCAAGATCAGAACCGGGCAACTGCTACTTCGTTCGGTTATTGTTCGTATTCCGCCGATATTCCTCGCTCGCTCTGCCATCTGCCACCGCAACCGGCGCTCGTTGGTTGGGAGACTGATCTCCGGGGCTGGAACTCTTTGGGAGCGAGGTCAAGGGGCGTAGAACCCCGGAAGAGCGGGCCAAGGCAGTTTCGCAACACACCTGGCAGTAGCGCGGAGGTCGTAGTCAACCTTGGGTGTGACGGTTGATGGGCGAGCTAAGGATGCGAGCGACAACACATCGGGATCGAGAGCATCGGCGGCAGCCGGAGGGCTGCCCACCTTGTTGCTCGACAGGGAGAGGGAGGAGGAGAAGGAGGTTGCCCGCAGCAGCAGCAGCAGCAGCAGCAACATCAGTGTTGTTGTTTCTGTCAGCGCTGTTGCTGGACGCGGCGGTTGCGGCAGAGGATTGGTGGCAACCAGGGCCTGGCGTGAGCTGGCAGGTGAGAACTTCAGCTCTACTCTCCGCGATAGCCGCAGTAGTCCCGCTCACCGCCATGCTCGCTGGTGCCTGCTGTAGAAGGTCAGCCCCAGCAACGTATCTCGCCGCACGACGCACGAGCATTCAGGGGAAGAATATAGGGAGAGTATGTGTGTTTGCCCGTGGAATTTCAGAACTCGTGCAAGCAAGGCCCTCTCTGTATCTCCGTACTTTTTCATTTCATTTTCTCTTTCCTTAGACCGATGTTTATGGAAGCAGAATCTTTAACAAAATGTTGAAACTTTTGCCAAACATTTTGCTCTGAATAATCGGCGATCGAAGATTTCCG